TTGGGGGGGGGGGTAGGTAGTAGGGGCAGGACAAGCCCCCCCAGGTGCCAGCACAGGGCACTCCACACCCCTGAGCTAGGAAGAGAGACTCTCGGCCAAGGAGATCAAAATGGGGTCTCGCCTGGCTTGACGCAACAGCACCCACCTGCCGGTGGCAAGGCCACCCAGCAGACACACCGAGGACACAGGGGTCATGGCTCTGGCACTGCCTGCCTGGTCTACGCTTCCCTTGGCTCTGGCTCTCAGCTGGCACGAACGTGCCCTCTGAAGCTGCCCGCACCAGCAGGCAAGGGTGAGCCTCCCAGGAGGGAAAGCCAGTCACGTGCAGCTCCCCTAGCTCTGCCGAGCGGAAAGGGAACAGCTGGTGGCAAAAGCTCACATCAGAGCACCATCGTGGGGGCACAGACAGGCTTCCTCCTGCCAGAAGCAAGTAGGGATGCTGGCTCGTGCACAAACCGATGCCAGAGAGGACAAAGAACCCCACAGCAGCTGGATTACACAGCCCCCAGAGCCACCAGCTGAGCTCACATCGGTCACCAGCCCGGCTGGCCAGGGTCCTCAGCTCCCACTCAGCCCCCAGCAGCGCCAGCCTCCTGATCCGGGCCAGCAGCCGCCACGCAGTTGTCTGCACTGTTGCCTGCTGCACGCTGTCACCTTGGAGCGCTCCCAGAACAGGCACCGCAGCACCCTGCACTGGCCGCACGCAGCCTGGGCAGAGACAGCCCTGTGCTCACACCACCTTCCAGCCCCCAGGAGCCCAAAGACAGGCCTCGGGAAGCGTGATTTTAGACGCATCTGCTATTCCTCCTCTCCTCCCTCCAGCGCCTCCCCGTTCCCCAGAGAAAGACAGCATAGCTCCTCCGTGTTGCTGCAGTTTCATAAAAACATACATAAATATATTTCCATTTCTTTAACAGGAAAGCAAAGCTGCACAGGCACCTATAAAACACAGTCACTTCTCCACCCAGCACTCCCTGCACAGATCATATAAAACATATAAAAGGGGGGTGGGAGAACAAGGCTGCAGGTGAAGCATGGGTACGGCACTGCGCAGGTCCTCACTGGCCGAGCACTCCTGCGGCTCACGACTCACGAAGTCGCCCTGGGAGGCCCTCTGCACTGCTCATCTCAGAATTTCCTCTTTCTCCGCCGGCAGGCTTTGGTCTGTTGCCGACTGCCCAAGCGAAGAGCCAGGTGTGGCTCCAAGTCCACCAAGCAGTCTGTGGCTTCTGAAACGGAGACGCGCGATTTTGCAGGGGAAATGCTGAAAGGAACGTGCAAAGGGGAGCGCGGGCTATCCTCAGCCTCATCCTCAGCTCGGGAGGAGAAAGCAGGAGGCGACTGTCGGTCTCCTAGTCCAGAGAGGGCGGTCCCTGCATCAGCACCTGCAACGAAAGCGTGCACATCAGCCCTCTGTTGAGTGTGGAGCCAGGGGAGAGCGCTGGTGAGGGGAGGAGGATGCCGTGAAGAGCATTTCTCTGTCATCACCTGCCCCAGACCCATGGGGGGAAGCACTGTGCCCAGGCAGGGAAGGCAGTGCTCTGCCACCCCAAGGTAGCAGGTGGATGCATGGACATTTCTTGACGCAGTGGCTCAGAGCACACCCCCACCTGAGCTCTGGGCACCGGGGCAGGATCCCAGTCTGCCGCGTGCCCTGCCAGCAGGAACAGACGGTCATGCCCGGCCGCAGGAGCCCCGGCACAGTCCTCAGAGCCTGCAGCACACTCAGCAGGCCAGCCACCCTCTTCTCAGTCTGGGAGCCACCAAGAAGGCACAACCGTTCCTCAGCAATGAGGACCTGGGCTATGTCATCACTGACATATCCTCCAGTGTGCCAGCGTTTCCTGCCCCAGGTCTTTGTGGCAGCCTTGGGCCTCCTGAGGGGGATGCAAAGGCCAGCTAAGCCCACAGCCTCCTGCTCTGCTCAGGAAGAGCAGGCTCCTCCAAGGAGAACGTGCTGCCCGCACAGCCCAGGCCAAGCTGGGACCCGCAGCAGCAACTGAAGGCCCCAAAAGGAGGCCGCTAGGAAAGGGAAGGTTCAGCAACCCTGACCCAGCCAGGCAGGCACAGAAAGCAACTTCCCACCTGCAGATTTGCTCTCCGAGAACTCCAGCATGCTGAGGAGTCGCCCCTCATGCCTTCCAAAGTCCTGCCAAGGGAGAGTAGAACAGCCATCACAGCACTGCCACAAGGGAACACGTCCCCTCCAGATGCCCATGCCCAGGGTGGCCCCTTGGTCGTATGTTCCCCCAGCACACGGAGTCAGGCTGGACACAAGCAGGGGTGGCCATGTTTCCAGAGCACAGAGCTAAGCGAGGCCAGCAGCCAACACGAATGGCACTGCCCCGGACCCAGCCTGACCAGCGCCCAAGCAGAGGCAGCTGACAGCAGTTCATAAAGCAGAGCCAGAGCCAAAGGGAGGCCAGAGTGCAGGAAGCCATCCCCAAGCCCAGCGAGTGAGCGTGTGGCTGTAACGCAGCAGTCTGGGCACAAGAGGCTCTGCCCCACTTCAGGCACATCACCCAGGCACTGTGACTCCAAGTGCAGGCTCCATCCTGCTCCATCTAAAGAGATCTTGGTGCTGGAGTGAAGGGACTTCCTCCATGGCACAATCAGATGAAGAACATGCATCTTGTGCCCTCTCTTAGTCCCTGGCAAGATGTGGCCACACTGGTCACACAGGCTAAGGGAAGGACACTTTGCCTGGCAGCTCCAAGCTTTGCTTGCCCAGCAAAGTCTCCTCTCCTGGCTGCTCTGCTCCCCAGAACTGCTCCAGAAGTCACTGGCAGGCCCTGCTGTAAGGTTGGAGCTGAAAATCACCTCGAAAGGGGCCCGGGCAGGAACCTGCAAGTCCAACAGTGCCACCAGGAAGTTTTCCAGTGGCCCAGCCCATGCCCAAGCATGACTTGCTCCCCACGGGTGAGCTGCCACCTCAACACAGGGCAGAGTCAGAGGAAATGCAGAGCCTTGCCAAGCGGTCCCAAAGGGCAGCTTGGCTCCAGCACCTTTCCCAGTGCCCTGTGCCCATGCCTGCACGCAGGACCTCCAGCATGCCAGCTGGCTAAGTGGAGCCTGGACAGAGTCAAACAGCCCCATGGAGCTGGTCACATGCAGGAGCAGCCATGCCCTGCAGTGCTCTGAACCACACAGCACTTGGCTGTATCCCAGTCAAAAATCATCAATCTGAAATCTCATCATTTGCATCTGAATCCCCAAAGGGCTGAGGCCTGTGATGGATTTAAGGGATTACACGAAACTAAGACATCATGTTGCATCTTCATGCTGAGAATCACATTTCTGAGCGCAGGCAAAGCTGCTGCACTAGGGCTGTGCCCACAGGAACCAGCGAGGAGGCCTGGAAGGGCCCCTCTCTGTGCTCCCCTGGGACAACTGCAAGCAGGGAATATCATGGTGGGGGCTAACACCTGACAAGCAACTGTGTGCCAGCTGCTACCCATGCTCACTGCCCCCCACCTCCCCTAGCAAGGCACGTCCCCCACACACCCAGCACACCAGCCACCATGTTCGCTTCCTCACATTTCTCCCGCGACGCTTCGGTTTGCTCCTGGGACTGAATGGTTCTCCCTGCTGTGGCTCTAAAGCCCTCCCTGATGGGAAGGGGCTTGTGGATAGAGTCGGATACACTTGTCGCCCTGACGCTGCCCTCCACTCCATCTATATTCAGCCAAGGAAGCCTGCAGGACTGAGGCGCACTGTTTGGCAGCAGGACAGCCCTGGCTCCCTGCCTGCTGGAGAGGTTACTGGCAGCTCCGCTGGATTAGCTCACCCCCTGGGACTGGTCCATGCTCTTGCAAAACGCTGTGAAAGGGAGGGCAACAAGTTCTCTGGCCACAGTTACCCACATGGGCAGGCAATCCTACACCAGGTCAGCTCATCCCGTCAACCAGGGAAACAGCTCCTGCTGGCAACCCACCCCCAGAACCAGCACAAAGCAAAGGAGACAGTCTGCAGGGTCGCCCCTCACCTTGGCACTTCGCAGCCTCCTGGTTCCCTGAGCTTGCCTAGCAGCCTGAAGGCAGCTGTCCACATGCCTCTGATACTGCAGCAGTGGCACCAGTGACTTACAGAGGTAGCACTTCTCACACCTGCCAGGCAGGAAAGGACAGAGCACTGCATTAGGATTCACCCTGCACTGAGCTACCAGCCACCAGCGGTGGCTTTCCTCCTCCAAGCCATGCCACAGAGGAGACATGTCACCAGATCGGGACTTGCTCAGTGGGGTCAGGCCAGCACCAATGACAAAGATGGAGTGATAACCAGTTTTCCCTGCCTGTTCCTCTGTATCCTGCTGCTGCTGCAGCAGCAGGACAGTAATCAAATCTGCTCATCTAACTATCTCAAACACCACTGATTTCTCCCCAGACATAAAGCACCCTGTCAAAATCTGCAGAAATGAAGTGCAAGGGCTTTGCAAAGGGGAGTTAAATTCTGCCTGAAAAGCAAACCAAGTGTGTTAAATCAGAGAGACATTTTACCAGGGCTGGATGAACTTGTCTGACTAGTAAATCAAGTCTTTCTCTGTACTGTCTCCATTTTACATCTAGCCATGTTGGGAGAGGAATGCGGAGCACGCACTCCTGCTGGGCGACTGGCACAGGCACCCCTCTCTTGCAGCCGCCTCCCTCAGACCCCCTCATGTGTGCAGAAGATGCCCAGGCTCATGCAGGATGGATGGAATGTGTCTGGGAAGAAAATTATCCTGGGTGAAGGAAGATGAAGGTCAGGCATGGATTATACAGCAATACTCGCTTCCACGCCAGCTCTCAGCACGGATGGTACCATGCAAAAGAGGGCACTGGTTCTTCAGGAGGAGAGCATCCACCCGGGGAGTTACTCAGGGACGGACTGTCTTTATGAAGAGACAAGCCCTCAGGGATCAGCCCCAGCAGTATTGTGTTCAGTTTGATAAGCAGCACTCACCTAGTAAAACTCACCCCAGGCTCTAAAATGCATATGGAGAGCCCCCATCGAGCAAAACTCTGCAGTACTTTTCCTATATTTTCTTTCCAGTCAGTGCTGATTACCCAGATAATGTGTCTAAACAGAAGCTGTCCTCTCTATAATTAGCCTAATTCCATTAGTGATGTTGCCATCCACTGTTTGTAACAGCAAAATTGCTTCCATAGCAGGGATTTTACTGTCAGATCCTCTCTTATGATGCTTTGTGTGGGTGGGAGGAGGAGGGGCTGCACGGGAAGAGATTAAACAAAGCCACTGCTATTCTGAAAGTCTAATTTAATTAAGAATATCACTACAGGTGCCATGTTGACAGCCTCCTTGTCCAAGCCTCTCCTTTTCCCAGGGTTACCAACCTCAAATCTCCCATTAGAAACTGGCTGAGTTAGCACCGTTTTAACTACAGCTCCCCCCACAATGGCCAGAGACCACACATGCCAGCTTGCCATGGATTTGACTGAAAGGAACTTAGTGCAAAAATAAACAATCTGAACACAGCAAATTCCTCTTGCTTTGGTATAAAAATATCCAGTACTGCAACAAGATGGACTGAGGAAAGGCAATTTCTTAGGAAAATATTGCTAGATATTGCATTTATGCAAGTATAAAGACATCCACAGACAAGCTAGAACTGGAGCACGGGAAACAATCTCAGAGGAGCAAGCATACCTACTTACTTGTCAATGTCTAAGGACATTGGGCCACTTTCACCGCTGACAGCTTTATTTCTTGCCTCTCTCTGACGTCGGGTAAGAACTGGAGACAAAGCAGAAAGGGTTACTCCCCATCCACCCCAGCTGCATCCCTATACAACATCCAAATAGAACATATTTTAACCTCTTCCACTCAAGGCTGCAGCAGAGTTCATGACGGAAAGACCAAGAAACAGTGGACCGAGACGGGCAGGGTCTTCTTTCCTGCAGAAGAGGTAGCTGGCCAATTCTCCTTTTCTCTGTGGGGGGATACTGAAGGAGTTACCTTCCCTGCACTTGCAGACCAGTTAGCCATTTCACACTGTAACTTGTCTTGGCCACCGGAAAGAGCTTTATCAACAGTATGCTGTTTACAGTAATTTAAAAGCTGATGTGCAGCAGAACAACAACCTGGGAGAAGAGTTACACAGCTGCTCCAGCATCATGGCACTGCTCACTGCCAAACTGAGCACCCATGTCTACAGCAAGGGAGCGAGTTTGGCCACTGCAGGTTTGCAGAAGAAAGAGAGCTGAGGCAGGGGCCATGAAGGGGCATCAGCCCTTCTGCTGATGTGGTAGGAAGAGCTAGTCTCGCTGCAGACACAGCTCATGCTGGAAAAGGGAGGTTTCACCAAAGAGCCTCAACGATCACTGCTTTTTCTCCCCCTCAAAGTGAAATGGGGGTGATCTTTACGATTCTCTGCATAAAGCTCTATGAGGTCTCTGGATGGCTCTACCAAAGTTAGGCATCGCTGATGCTTCTCTCTAACGGCAGCAGGGAAGGGCTTGCTCTGACACCCGTAGGTAGCTGGCGAAATCCTGGCCTGACTAGCATGCTGATGACAGGAGCCAAGATTTTCTGTTCCCTCAGCAATCCCGAGCAGTCTCTCCAAACCTGCTCTCCAGGCATCTGCAGGGAGCACGTCTAAGTGTTGTCTCTTTCAGCTGAATTCCTCTCAGCATATTCCTGTTGACATGCCACCAGCAAAGATCCTCGGGGAGCGTATCAGATATCTTAGCTCGCTTCACCAGGGACATTCAAGATCCCAGCTCCAAAACAGATGTTGCAGTAAGCATTCTCAGCAATCTGGCTAAGGGACAATGCATGGAGCTGCTTTACAGCCTGATAACATTGCTTCCCATACTCGATATTCTCATTACAAGAAAGGCCTAAATCCACCGTATAGGCCTGCATGTGGCACAACATCTCTGGGAAAGAAGGGGGGAATTCTGCACTGAACAGGGAGAATCCTTCAGAGCTTTAGCAAAACCCCATTTCTGGAGCATTAGGCAGCCCTACAAGCCCCAATATTCATCCCTGATGCTGATACAATATGGCCTTTTCATTACTAGCCACCTCTCTCTGCAGCCACAACCAGCAAACACGCTGTGAGCCCCTCGGGAGTTCTTGGGGCTGAAGGGAGACATCCACGCTGAAGCTTGGTCAAGCTCGAGCACTTCCTAGCATGTGGATATCGTCATCCGGTGATGACTGAGACCACCAGCTTTTTTTCTCACAGGAACCAAAGCAGGCATCTCTGTTTAACTTAGCCTGGCCCAGATTTGAAGCGGCAGTCTGATTAAGAAGACCGACGACCACGGCCAACCCCCAAGCCATCCAGCCTCCCAACAACCCAACTAACGTACGTTTGACAGTGTGGTGAAAGCTGCTCTCCAAATCAGTGCGCACTCGTTAATATTATTTTAACACCATCTCGGCAGCCTCGTGCACTAGCTCAGGTGTTAATCAGTTCTATTTTTTTCCAAAAGCAGTGAACACATCTGGCACAATGGGCCCATCAGAGATCTCTGGGACCAGCTCTGCAGATGCCCAGGGCAAGACCCCCAACTGTGCTGCTGAAAGGAGGAGCACAGGAGAGAGAACAGGGCCAACGGTGCGATAGGCTTGGTGAAGCACAGCAGAGTCAGCCTGCCCCCAGTTCACACGTTCACACACACTGGCAAGGCATGGCCCCTGCCAAAACACACCATCAGCCTGCAGGAAGCGGCTTCAGAAGAGAACTTGGGGCGGGAAAAAAAGCTTGCCATAGGGAAAATCCCCACTGCAACTGAGCAGTCCTGACCAGCTGAGGGGAGCTGCGATGGGAGCCTTGTAACTCTCCCAGATGTAGTGCTCTTTGCAAGGTCAGACACGTTCTGTAGCCTGAAAATGACCTTTTCACCGGCTCTGCATTTCTTCGGGTTGACAAGTCATCCTTGGCCTGCTCGGCTCCAGCTCTCACCCGGGGGAACAGGAGCAAACCCTTCCCAGCTCAGCCCCGCTGCTGGCAAGCCCACCTCTAGGCTTACCTCCCGGGGCGACGGGGGAGGTCAGCCAGCATGCCGAGCTGCAAGGCCATATTGTACTAAGCTCCTTGCCTTGCTGCACTAGGCATCTGCTGTTCACTGCACCAGGTTTCTCCTCCATGCTCCCAGCTTCCTCTTCTTACTACCAGCCGTACTATTTTTGTGCAAGATCCTATTAATGGCAGACTCTCCAGCATCTTGTCCTTTCTCACAAGTGATGAAGCTTTTCTCCGCACCTGTTCTGTTACTCTTTCTGCTGTAACAGTGCCACTTCTATTGATGTCAGGAGCTTTTTAACAGTACCATCACTGCTGCTTCTGCCACTCTGAAGATTGACAGCTGCTTCACGTTGTATTCGAGGCTTTGGGAGGAAGGGATGTATCAAATCCTCTTTTTCTGAGGCTCACTTGGGAATTGAGAAGTTGCGAGTGCGTAGATGGAGGGCCACAGGAACAGAGTATGTCCCAAAGCTCAAGACTATTCAATATGCTCAGTAACAGCCAAGACTCGCTTCCAGACTGAGACCGGCAGATTCTTGTATTGGCAGCAGCAGAGGGTGATGGATCTGACAACTTCATCAGAGAGCCCCTCTCACAAGCAAGCCCTTCAAATGACTGTACAAAGGAAGAAGGAGCTGGCACAACACTTGCAAGGGGTTCATTCATTCACCAGGAATTAGTAACGTTCACGGAGCTGGCAACTAGGGCTCACACTCTCCCCAGCCTCGTGCAGTAGCTAAAGCAGCAGCAGGCTCTTCCGTTTCATTTACTCAGATGACAGGGAAACAGAAACTCATGACCAGATTTTCATACAGTTCAGGTATGTCGTGGTCCAGGCATCCAGCCAAGGCAACCATGTACATACATAAGGGAAGCTACTGTTGCTCATCTTGCCCAGCTAAATAGTTTGAAAACCTGTCCTTAAATATCAGCCAGCCTGAGCTGGCCTCCTTCTACAAAACAGTGAAAGGCTTTGGTGAATGATTAGAAGAGGGAAGAAGAGGAGCAAAACCAAACGAATCGTTTTGTAATTTTAAAATGGAAAACACTGAAGATTACAGCAATCTGTAGTACTAAAGGTATTCGGAGTAAATCCAATTAATATATCCTAAAATGGATCAGAACTGCTGACCCAGTGCAGTAAAGGGAATCTGAAGGGTGGGGGGGGGAGGGGCAAAACTTTGATTTTCTTGCATACAAGGTTACTGCTGTGTTCTTGGGGTTATTGCTTTTCTTCTTTGCTTCACAAGACAATCCTCCCACCGTTTTGTCCCCTCTTGCATTAGCTTTACATATGGATTTTTGTGTTAGTGGAAGATGCCACAATAACAGCCAGGAAACAGAGCCCTTTTGTACTTGCATAAGACGTGTTCCAGGCTACTGCCTTGCCTCAGCTCAGAGCTAAACGTCATCCCTGCCTATGCACCCCAAACGCCTCTGATTAGCTCACCAACTGAGACCTTTCAGTGCGCTTTCCATCTTTGTACAGGCCCTGGGAACTGGAGGTGCCCTACAAGCCAAACCCCAACCAGACATCACGTTTTGCTCTAAGTTCAAGTGTGCGGCTCAGAGTGCAAGAAGCCCCCAGTTCCGTGAAGATTTTTGGCCCAAACAACACAGGCATCAGAGACTGCCATGGCCAGCAAAGCCTGGTGTCTACAGGGAAAATGCTAGAATAAACAACATTCAAAAACCCAAATTACTGTGATTTTGTCCCAGAACCATTCCCGCAGTACAAAACCACTTCTCTTCCAGCCTCGTTTCCATATGGAGGGATTGTTCTGAACAAGTCAGAGCGGCAGAGTAACAATTCCAAAATAGCTACCCGTACAAACATCCCCAAGGAGACCAGTCTGGAAGCTGAGTGAAAAGGCCAGCCTTGAACTCTGTCCTGC